CGGTTACACTTGGATGCTGTTCGGATTGAACTGCAGACAGCCAGTCAGAACTTTGCCAGACATTCGTCATCCAGCTTCATAAGAAACGGCACCATACAGTACCATCAGATGATGACGGAGTACAACCCAAACTATGACTTTGTCGCTGCTAAATACCCCGAGCAACAGCTGAATGAACTCAATCGCAACAAACTAGAGCTAGTCAGGTATATCAGTAGTATATGTGATTGAAATATTCACTGATTTGGGGATGTCTGTGTTTATATACACCTAGATGGTATGTAAAGAAGGCTGGAGATCTGTAGCTTGCTGGTTTGAAAATATTGAGTCGGATGACTATTGAGGGCTACAGTCCCACCCATTTTAAAAAGTGTATACTTAGTATTTATTGTACACAAATTACATTTATCATAAGTGGGCGATATGAAAGTGAAAAAAGATAGTTACTGTATAGGGAATTATTTCATTGTTTGTGATTTTCACATTTTACTCTTCTTTGAAATGAACATGGTTTGATGAATTTGCAAATTAAGACCTATGAACTCAGCACATTTAACCTTTGAGCAGAGAGATTTTTTTCAATGCCAACACCTACTATGAGATGTAACTTGGTTTAAATGGTGTCGCAAGAAGGACAGGTCATCTCCTTACTCTGCAATTCTAGAGCAAAAATGCTCTAACCCCTGCACCAAGCAGTAATATTTAATCTGAAAATTGAGAAAAACCAACCTTTTTTTTTTGGCACTAAGAATGGAACAATTTATAGATGAAAAACACTGCTGTGAAAATCAAAATTCACTGAACATCAAAAAACTTTACATCTGTTGCATGCAAGTCTGGTAAATGGAACTTTACACAACTACAATTAAATTGCCTTATTTCTCAAAATTTATATACAGATTCACAAATTATGAGCAATTTGAATATTTCTGCTTTTTCTCCATAAGAGGAAAAATCAACTTACTGCTGGTTTTTAATTAAAAACACATTTGCTTTTTTCCCTATTAAAATGTCTAAGGTAGATCCTATTTTTGTAAAACCATCTACAGTAAAACTCGTTTAAATACGAACACGGATATAGCGAATTCATCCTGGATCCCCAGCTATTTAAATTTAATGAATTTCTTATATGGTTATAATGGATATAACGAAATAATTTCATAGATCCCAGTGACTTCGTTATAACAGAGTTTTTTTGTTGTACAGTACAGGCAACGCGGATCCCGTATTTCCCGCGTCCCCGCCGCGGTATAATCACAACGCGGTATTTGGCCAGGTAGACAGGTAAACCGCGTTCCCTCCGCGGGAAATTCATCACTTACCTGTCCCCGCCGCGGTTAAATCATCGATCAATTACTGACAATTAGTATCGTAAACAAACGGGAGTTATCTCCCCGAATTGTAATTTGCGAATTTTCCCTGTAACAAAAAAAACAAAAAAAAAAAAACAAAAAAAAACAAAACAAAAAAACAAACAAACAAACAAAAAAAAAAAAACAAAAAACCGTGTATTTATTAATAAATTTTGCTATGAATAGAATTTAAACTAAGAAAAAATAAGTTTATTTTTGTTTCTAAAATTACATATCAATCTTTGAAATTGAATAGAAAATTTTATTAAATTGTTACGTCTTTGCAATTGGTTAATTATTTTGTGTTGTTAAGAATCTATCAAGAAACAAAATTAAATACTAGAAATTTTAATTAGTTTTTTTTTTTTAATCTTCGTATTATATGCAAACTGTAATAAATGTTGAACTCAGACTGTTTAAGTTTCGATGAACGATTTTCAGCATTCATTTGAAAAAAAAAGATGTACATCTTTTAAAAAATGTACATCTTCATATTGTTTATTAATTAATTTCGATTTATTGTATTTAAAATGTACAGGCTTTTTCTTAAAGTGTCAAATTACCGGAAAACATCCGATGACGAGCATTTGCAGTTACATGTAGTGGGCACGTGAACTTAAATTTTCTTTATCCTAGATATCAAGGAAAAGTTCTATTCTTCTTTATTTCTCATCGTTTATGTTCTGTTCCCAAATTAAGTTAATTTAATTAATTAATTTTCTTTAATGTATTTCCCTCTTTTATATAAATGTGCAGGCATATTTCTCAAATTGTCAAATGACCGGAAAGCATTCGATGACGAGAGTTAACTTTGAGCACGTGAACTTTATACAAGAGATCAAGAAAAAATATCGTTTTTCACCTTCACATTAACATGTTTTACTTTTAAATACAATGTCTTTCTTTTTAATTTTAATATTTCTCGATTTTCGTGTTCAGTAGATAAGATAGGATGTGCAGGTGTAATGATAAACTTCACAGACGAAATTATAGTTTATATTAATAAATATTCAATGCAAAAATTCATATATTTTTGTTTTCTTTGACAAATTCTGTTTCTTTGTGTATTAAGTATTAGCCGCGATCATTTCCTGTGTATAGGGATTAGCAGTGCCTGAGCAGGAAACGATATGCCCTGGGGGTTTCACACCTGTCTTATAGTATACCTTGGGTAACGCTTGCTGAGTGTGCATGTCGTTGTCTAGCCATTCAACAACACATTTGATTCATTGTTTCATTATTATTTCATCGATATCATTTTCAGATGTGATATTAGCCTTGGAATTTGTGTAAAATTATTGTTGCTTTTTTTTTAAACGGAGTGTATAAAAAGAATAAAAGTAAAAAAAAACATTTAAAACAAATTAATGAAGTATTTGATATCAATTAAATCAAATAATGATCCATTACTATGTTATTTCGTGTCTGTTTATATCTGTACCAGTTAGAAGATTGAAAGAGAGAGAGAGGAGATAGAGAGAAGAATCACAGTATTAAGGCACGTGCATGGTCGTTTTTCCTCCCTTTTGATCAGTATATCAATTTCTTAAGTTTAGCGAATAAAACTACCGCTGATTTATCAGTTTATTGACCATTTGTCGAATTTGTCTAAGTTTTATTGTTATTTATCGAGAGACTTGTTTATGATCCCCTTTCTTCTTTCGTTTAGCATATGTACATGACATGTAATTTGAATTACTTCCCTTTTTGTCGCCAGATTACAACGACAGATTTTGGTGGTAAGATAAAATGTATTTTTGCTATAAAATTTGATTAAGAAAAACACAATATATTAAAATTGTCGAATTCTTGAAAATATTTATTTGAAACAAAAAATTTAAAAAGGATTCTGTCTGCAACAAAAACATTCTTTCTTTCTTGCATTTCAATTCATGAGCTACACATGAAAAAAAAACGGCTTCGTTTTACAATGTCGTAGGAAAACGCATACAGGTAATACACTCAGGTAACATCCTGTGTATATAGGTAGTATGTACACTAGACAGTGTCGTTCCCTCGGGGCTTCTCATCCGCTTCGAGTAAGCTCCACTCCACACCAAAATTACCTGAGGAAAACCGAACGGTTACACAGAAAACTTGAAGCATGGCAACTTGCTGATTAAAATAAGTTAATTTCTGTGTTGTGTGTTCAAATATTTTAAGGGCCCATATTTGTGTTTGTGTTTTATTTGAACCGGAGAAATCTGAAATTTGTTTATGTTCATAAACATGATTTTAGTAATTTTCGAAAAGAGCAGAAAATAGAAATACATTCAAATACTAGCTATGATATTATTAATATTCTGAATAGAAATACCTGTGATTATTTTATCAACAAGAAACCCCCCCCCCCCAAAAAAAAAGGTCGATATTTAGTTCATAGTGTTACAGTGTAGCGCATAATAATGGAGCAACGGTATTCCTACACTTACGCGTGTTTTGTTAAAATTTAATTGTAATTATGTATAATTATGTATCACTATCTATCATCGTTTTTCATGCCATTATTTATAACAGATATGTATACAGAAGTAACGGTACTTTTCTAAATGAAACCAAATGACTGATATAATCTCGCAGATAAATAAACACATAGCTACATGTAACTGCAACTACACGGGCTAACTACGAACAGCGGATTATACAATGCATATAAAGAGAAGCGATATCATAACATTCTTTAAATTTTAATTATACCTTTTTAGCAATTTGAAGATCATTTGGGGTGGCATTATTGATTTTGAAAATAAACTTTAAGTTAATATATTCGATAAATTATTCGACTTTATTTCATCCTATACTGTACATGTATTACTGTTAACAGACGTTATTGAGAATTAATTAATTTTGAGTGACCATTGGTAAAAAAAAAAAAAAAAAGATGTTTTTTTATTAAACAATTTGATAAAACTTAGAAATGAATTTTTAAAGAATCCATGTAATGGTATAAATCTATTAATATTAATGTGGTCGTAATCCTCCCCCCCCCCCCCTCATTTCGACACGATTAAAATCGACAATACTTTACAGATAAGAACATCTAAGCTGAAGAATAACGGTAGCGGGCCCCGCCGCGGTGTAAACACGGTCTCAGGTAGCACCGCGATCAAAACCCGCGACGGTGTAACGCGGAAAGGATTAATACACCGCGGAGGGGACGCGGTCTAATACGGGATCCGCGTTGCCTGTACTGTATATCTCCAGATTTCTTCCTGAGAGCCAACTGTTTTATGGTTCTTAATTCCATCTTTGTCAGAAATGAATTGATATGTACAATATTTTACATTTCTTTTTCCACTTCATATGAATGATATAAAGAGATATGAAAAAGAACAATAGAAAGCCTTTTCTGTGTGCATATGTTACATGGAGAATAATTGTTGCAATTTTTAACACCATAATTTTACAATAATTTCAGAATGCATAAATCAATTTATATTGTCCTTATTTTCAATGCAGGGCATTAGGTCAAGGGGCATTTGGTGAAGTTTACAAGGGATACATTTTAGGTTTTCAAAATATGGAAAGGGAGATGCCAGTTGCTGTTAAGGTATGGAGTTTAAAAAGTCATAACCATTTAATTGTCATCATGTTTGTTTGTTTAATGTCCCTATGAGAATTTTTAAGACACCACCACTTACAGCTGGATAGTAAATTTAAGTCTGTTCTGGGCAATTGGAGCTTTTGAGATGTGGGGTTAGGCCAAAAAAAAATAATAGTCTTGTTTCCTGCTACCAGCCTGAAAAAAATAGGGTAGGTAGGTAGGGAAATTATTTTATTTTTCTTTTTTATTTTATTTTTTTCAACAGTGTTTCTTTGGATATGAATTAATACAAGATCAAATTAAACATGCCATATAGGTCAATATTGCCTTTTAAAATTAAATTTCATGTCTCTTGATGCACAACTCAAATGGTATTTTATGAAAGTCCCTATTTAAAACAAAGAATTTTATGAAATACCAATTAAATATATATTTTTTCTCAGTTTTGGAACATGAAATTCCAAAAATTCCTGATTTTTTCCCCCAAAACTTGATAAAAAACTTTAGGGTCGGGTGCAAAAAAATAGGGTAGGTCGGGTAGCAGGAAACAAGACTATTTTTATTTTTGGCCTTATATTTTTTTGTGCCAGCACCTTCCATGACACAAAGCTTTGGTTTTTAAGGACAGGTGTCCAGATACCACTGTGGTGTTATTATAGGAAAAACTCATTATTCCATAACTGTAAAGCTAATGCATTAACCACTGTGTCCAGATACCGCTATGGTGTTATATTATAGGAAAAACTCATTATTTCGTAACTGTAAAGATAATGCATTACCCACTTTTGACATTCAGAGACATATTTCATTGAAGTTTTGGTTCCCCTTATCATATTTACAATAGAAAGAAATTTTATATTTTGAATATGAAAATGTAAATTACTTTTCAACTGTAATATCTTCAAATCTTAGGAAATGTTGAAAAGAGTTGTCTATCAGAATTATTACATACTGCAAGATTGGTTATCAAAAAAGCCAAAATTACTGTTGATTGCTATTATCATTTCAAAAATACCAATTATGTTAAATTGCACCCCCTGATAAGCTTAGTTGGGGGGATAGTTAGAGTAATAATGAAACTTTGATTACTGGTATACTTCTGATTAAATGGTACATACATGAGGAATGGGGGTATGTAAATTGGCACATTTGGTTGTAATGTTTTAGAATCAATTCTAGGTTGCAGACAATTCATCCCAACCCAAATATTTCTCAAGTTATTGCAAAAAAACAAAAAATTCTCTTTAAAGCAGTTGAAATCATGTCTGACTTTATTTTTCAAGAGTATACTTTTTCATGAAAAAGCCATCTAGAAATAATGTGCTTGGTATAACACGGTTCTAGCCCAAGCAGAAATTCTGAGCGTAAATCCATATCTGTCAAGCTATGTCAGATAGGTATTTAGGGGATCATTGGTTGTATGGGAGGAATTGTACAAGGAAAGTCCATTTAACAGTGTTAAGTTTTTCAAGAAAGGTCTCGCAAAAACGTTCACTGTGGTTGGATTCCATATTTGCTCTCCTGAAATTGGAAGACTTGACGACTCCACTCTCACCTAGTATATACAGAAAATTTTCTTTACATATAATAACATGTTTTACAGTTATTATAATTACAAAATAAATTCAAGATACCATCAATACTTCTGAATGATTTATGACTCGCATTTATTATTGTTGATTTGATTCTGTAAGTAGGTCTTCACACTTGTAATTCAAGCTGAATTAAACCTTTGTTATTTTCCCAGCTATAATTAGTTGCGGGAGGTATAAAGTTTTTGACCTGTCCGTCAGTCAGTCAGTCAGTCAGTCAGTCCTCTTTTTTTGTTAGCGCAACTCCTCATAAACCGCTGCACAGAATTTCGTCAAACTTTGCACCTATTTAGGACACAATGTGTAGATGTGCATATTACCAGGAAATTCCGATTCCATTATTTTTTCCGGGAATTTTCGCACTTTTTAACTTAGGCATTTGGCCATACCTTGAATATAGAGATGAACAGTTTGTCAGCGCAACTCTTCATAAACCGCTGCACAGAATTTCGTCAAACTTTGCAGATATTTAGGACACAATATGTAGATGTGCATATTCCCAGGAAATGCCGATTCCGTTATTTTTTCCGAGAATTTTCGCACTTCTTAACTTAGACATTTGGCCATACCTTGAATATAGAGATGAACAGTTTGTCAGCGCAACTCCTCATAAACCGCTGCACAGAATTTCGTCAAACTTTGCAGATATTGAGGACACAATATGTAGATGTGCATATTCCCAGGAAATTCCGATTCCTTTATTTTTCCGGGAATTTCCACACTTTCCAACTTAGACTTTTGGCCATACCTTGAATATAGAGATGAACAGTTTTTCAGCCCCACTCCTCTTAAACCGTTGTACATAGTTTTGTCAACCTATGCAGATATTTAGGACATATTCCATTATTTTATCCCAAAGAGTTATGCGTATTATTCAAGAAAATTTCTCTCTCCCCCCCCCCCCCCCCCCCCCCCCCGTCAACCACTTCAAATTAATGTTTGGATTTGTATAATGCAAAGAAATTTTGATTCCTTTATTTATCTAGAAACTTCATTCCACATTTAAATGTCCTCATATGCAAGACATTTTGATGTGAAGATTTTTTTGCAATTACTGCCCTTTTTGATCTATATTATGTATTTAAAGTGCACTGTGCCTTTCATTATGTGTTTCACCGTCAAGTTTTGGGGGAGCGTGGGGTATGTGAGCTAGCTCACTTTTTCTTTCATTCTGTCTCCTTTTGGTAGTTGTAATATTTTTCTCCAGTGATGTTTTTTTTTATTTGAACACTTGAAACTTTTGATTTTATTGGTCAAATTTTGAAGCTCATTTATTCGATGTTGCATTGATTTGATTTCTTTCTTTTTATAACTTTACTTTGTTTATCCAAGTAAAGAAGTAAGTCAATGACAGAGGGAGATTGTAGTCTGGAATCCCTCTAAAAATCAATGCAAAATCCTTAAATCAATTATTGTTCCCCATTTTCGTGAAAGCAAGAGGACATCAAATTTCATTCATCTATCCATTGGTCACAAAAACTTTGAAATTGGTCATAAATTCTGGATGAGAAGAGATAGGGTTTTTAGCTCACTTAAGCTAAAGGCTCAAGTGAGCTTTTTTGAACACATTTTGTCCATTGTCCGTCTGTCTGTCCATAAAGTTTTAATATTTTCAATATCTACTCAAGAACCACTGGGCCATTTTCAACCAAACTTGCCACAAAGTATCCTTTGGTGAAGGACATTCAAGTTTGTACAAATGAAGGGGAGATAATTAGGAATTAGTGAAAAAATAATGGCATCTCGTAAAATTCTCAAGAACCATTGGGCCAGAATACTGTAAACGTATTACATTTAGCGGTGTATTCTATTTAGTGATTTTGGAGGTAAACAGAGTCCGCTAATTCAAGTACATCGCTAACTGTCTTGTATATGAACTTGTATAACTAGCAAATTCAGACAGCGCTAAATTAAATCTATGCTAACTTGTTGAAAATTGAATTTCTGCCAAATATCGTAGTTGCCAAATGTAATACATGTACAGTAAATGAAACTTATATGGAAGCATTCTCAGGTAGTATAGATTCAAGTTTGTTCAAATCATGACCCCTGGGTGTAGTATGGGACAACAATGGACGATCAAAGTTTTACATAGGTATAGATAGATAAATCTTTAAAAGTCTTCTTCTAAAGAACCACTGGCTTAGGAAAGATGAAACTCTTGGAATCATCTTCAGATGTTGAAGATTTAAGTTTGTTCAAAGGATGACCCCTTTGAGGTAGGATGGGGCCACAATAGATGTTAAAAGTTTTAAATAGGAAAAGATAGGGAAATTCTTTCAAAGTCTTCTCTCCGAGAACAGCAAAGCCAAGTATGGTCATATTTATATGGAAGCATCCTCAGGTGGTGTAGATTCAAATTATGACCCCTGGGGTAGGATGGGGCAACAATGAGTGATCAATGTTTAACATAGGAAAGCATAGGGAAAATCTTCTTTCTAAGAACAAGAAAGCTATGATTGACCATGGTCATATCTTAATGAACGTGTCCTCAGGTAGTTTTAATTCAAGTTCATCCTATTCATGACCCCTGCGGTGTTGGGTGGTCCACAAAGGTAGATCAAAGTATTACATATATATAGGAAAAAATCTTTTTCTCAAAAAACAGAGAAAAACCATGATTAATCATATTGATATTGAGGCATCCTCAGGTAGTGTAAAATCAAATGTTTAAATGAGGTCCCCGGAGGTAGCATCCTGGGATAGTGTAGATTTTAAATTGTCCAAATTATGACACCTGGGGGTAGGGCAGGGTCACAATAGGTATTGCAAGGGGAAAATCTGGTAAAGAACAACATGGTCAAAGCTACTCAGGTGAGCGATGTGGCATACAAGTGTTTCTTTTTTCTTTAAGCAAGGGACACATTTTTTCTGAAAATTCCTTGCACATTTGTAGCTGCAGATCTGTAGCTCTCCGAAAAAAAATATTGATAGACTGGAGAGCTACAGTGCCACCCATTGAAAAAACTGTATATTTATTGCGCACAAAAAAGTGCGCTCGGTTCTCGATTTATTTCTCCGTGTTTTTAAAATTGTAATCTCAAAATATTACTAACCGTGTGTTCCTAACATATTCTTTCGCTGTTTCCACAACCAAACATTCCTCATAATTGTTGTTAATAGTCCTCCTGACCCTGATATTGTAATCATCGAATATTTCGTTATTTATACTGCCATTTTGGTTTCAAAAATAATTCGGTCCAATATGCTTCGTTCGGATGTCAACTACGAGAGTACTTGATAGAAGATAAAGGAATTTTTTGAAATCTTTCTTTATTTGCAATTGAGGTAAGAATTTTGAAGAATTAATTAAGAACTGAGCACACTTTTTTGTGCGCAATAAATATACAGTTTTTTCAATGGGTGGCACTGTAGCTCTCCGGTCTATCAAAATATTTTTTTTCGGAGAGCTGCAGATCTGCAGCTAACACATTTGCAAAAGTAACAGGCCTTAGAAATATGTATGAGAAATGCTCACATACGAATTCAGTAAATAGAATATTTGCTAAAAGTGGCAATTAAGTACTACATGTAGCATTACCAACAGAAAGAATGTCATGTAAAGTTGGTGGTGGTCTAGAGGCGAGACATTTGAGAGACTAATATTTTCAATTTTAATAAAGTAAACCAAATGTCAAAGTTCAGTCAAGTATTGTTTACCTTATACTAGTATTTAGAAAGCAGGTTAGAATTTTCCACGACAACCACACTGGTCCAAGAGAGGATAACAGTCACTGGGATCAAAAATATAATAGCATTTCCAAGCTGCATTACCATTGCGCATAAATATAATTATGATACACATACTTTATGACTGTTGAAATCATTTCAATTTTCACATTGTTTTGGGCTAATTTTATCCTTTTACATGTATTTATAAATTATTCAAATTAAATAATCAAACTTAAAAATAAATAATTTTTAAAAATGATAATTTGATAGGCTTCAATATTTAATTTTTTGTGTAATCATTGTGATTACAAACAGTTTTTAAAAAATGTCTATAATATATATAACATGTTCTGTAAATAGTCCATAAAATATTTCCAAATCGTAGAATTTACCTATTCTTCTAACACATGCAGCTGTCATATGCATTTATAAACTTAAGCTATCTAAAGAAACACGCACGCTAACTCTCGATTCTCGCCTACATTTTGGAACCATTTAATTCAATATGAATAGCAATTTGGCCGTAAAATCTTTGTTTAATACAAAGAACAGTTCAATGGTAATTGATAAACCGTCTTAATACCAGCGCTAAACAGTAAATTATCCATAATTCCAGCTCTTGAAAGAAGGGGGGGGTAGACGATATTTTCAATTGAAATCGGAGTTTCAAGCATGACCGTATTTTGAAATAGTCTTGGATATGATTAAATGTTCCTTACATCTTTTCTTATGTTTTAGGCAAATAAATAAAACATAAATATTTCAGTTGTATATCGCTTTGAAATTGGTGGAAAATAAGCATTTTTATCGTTTTTTGTCAATAAACATGTGCCCCCCCCACCCCCCCGTGTCACACAAAAAGCTTTGGTATGAATTTGTGAAATAACATTCCATATTACCTGTAAAAAGGAATTTTTGTGACACAGGGGGGGGAAAGATGTTTTAAAAATATTTTCCGTTTTCCATTGATTTCTATAGTGAAAAACACAAGTTTTACCAAAATTTTAGAGTTATCTCTCTTTGTTTTCCCAAATAAGTCATGTTTTATGAAAATCCATATAATTATCTATAAAAAATATTAAAAATTCCTCGAATATGTTAACCTTTGAAAATTGACTTGGAGGTAGGTGGGAGAACAATACTATCGTTCGCAGTTCTTTTATTCTCTGGTTCTCGGGGCAATTTTCTCCAAAACAGATGCGGGAGGGAGGCATTTATCATTTTATTGGCAATAGAGTAGATGAGGGAGGTGTATTTTTAGCTCTACTGGTCAGAGACCAGAAGAACTTTT